GCGACGCACAAAGTACCGTTCAAGATATTGTTAAAATATGCAAAACCAGTTTTACGAGGGAAGCGGAAACGCGAGGAAAGAGTGGAACGATCCAGCCTCCGTTTCCTTGTCCCCTCCTCCTCCTGCACTTTGCGCCGGTTATATGTTTATCGCAAACGGTGGAAGACAAGTGGAGGGAAAAGTCACGAGCCGTATCAACCGGGCGAAAACGGACTTATTTATCGTCCTCTTTCCCGAACTTTCGCGAAAGCGGATGCACAAGCTCGAAAACGCATCCCGGGGAAAGAATACGTTTGAAATATTGAAGCTTCCTCGATTCGTCTGCATTCCAGTCGCAGCTCTACACGTAAAAATACTGAAACTTCTCTCCTCCCTCGTCATCAGCTTCATCCTCGCGGCAAATGGTACTTCTCTACTTTCTGTAAAAGTGCATGCTAGAACATAAAATATATATATATATATTTGCGAAACAAGAATTATAAAAAAAAGAAAATTCCATCGAATATCTTCCCATCCGATCCTCGAAGAATAATTATAACTTTCTCTATTACGACACTCGAGAAAAGGAAATACATTATCGAGCCATCATTTTTATAAAATTGTCGACAGTTCTCTTAATAATTCTTTAAAAACTTGGAGGATTCGAGAAGCAAGGAACAAAATTATTATTTCTCTCGAAACGATGAAAAATATATATATATATGTATCATCGAGTAGCACTTTTATGAAATCTCGTGCTGCTCCCTCTAAAGACTTAGAAATTCAAGGATCCTCCTCGATTCAAAATCCCCCCCCCCCAACAAAAATTCAACTTCTTCTTTCCCCCTCTCCCTCCCATCGACAGATTTATCGCGTCCCTTTTTTTCCAACCTGTGAAATTTCACCGAAATCAGCACGTTTTCGGTCGCGGAAAAAGCCCAGTCGTAAGTCATTCCCCGGAACAAAAAAGAAACAACGAGTGGTTATTGGCGCCAAGCAGGCCCGGGATAACTAAGCGCGTCACTCGCGATCACGGCGCGAAAACAGGTATTGGCGGACAATGGGCATTGTACTTGGATGGCCCGATAAATACATCGACCGACTGATTATGTTATAGAGTGTCGAAGTGGAATACGGTAGAATACGAAACCGTGGACGTATTTGCCGGTTAAGTAGGGAGAGAGAGAGAGAGAGAGAGAGAGGAGGAGAAGACACG